GGCTTCAAAAAGTATGTGGGAAAATTCCATTATGCTTTAATTAATTCCATTTTTCCGTGAACTTTTTGCAGCTCTTTCATATATTGATGAATTGAAAAAGGCATTAAGCACAATTTGTAGGCACAAGATACAAAGTTAAACGAAACTGAAAAAATGTCTGCCACAGATACATAACTTCTTTATGTTTGTTAGCTCCAGGGAAGACAAATGTCACGCTTCCCTAAATATCTTTTGGATTTGTTGTCAGACAAGTGATTTTAAGCTGTGAGTGTTATAGTAATATGCAGAATAGAACCTTCTTGTTGAAAAGCATTTCATTCTCTCAGCAGTTTACATTTTTATTTATTTGTTTTTGCATGATTTTCTATGTATTATCACAAATGCACATGAAATTACAGTTGGGGATCCAACAGTAAAACAGGATAAGAAATGAATGAAACATTGCATCTTGTTCCAGTTTGAATGGTTTCTTGCCTGTTGTGCTTTCTATCCTGAAATTTTCCTTTATCATTAACTGGGGGGTGGCATTTTTCTTGCTTTCCAGGTTGTATTCCTCTTTGCTATTCCCTAGCCTCCCTCTTTCTTCATTTATTCTATTGTATGCATAATCCAATAGCTTCTTTAGAACATGGGGGATCTTGGGAAATAATTGTTTTCCCTCTAAATTATAAAGATAATGCTTTAATTGTCTTCTCTCCATTGCTGTTGATTTTTTAATCCATGATGGTGGTGGTGGTGGTAGTGTGCCGTGGAGTCAGTTCTGACTCATAGCCACCCTGTATAGGGTTTTTGAGGCTGTAAATCTTTGGTGGTGGTAGTGGTGGTGGTGGTTATATGCTGTGGAGTCAGTTCCGACTCTTAGCGACCCTGTACAGGGTTTCCAAGGGCTGTAAATCTCTGTGGGAGCAGAATGCCTCATCTTTCTCCTGCGGAATGGCTGGTAGTTTCAAACTGCTGACCTTGAAGTTAGGAGCCCAACTTGTAACTACTATGCTACCATACTTCCTTTAATCCATGATAGAGGACTCCTTTTCATTTTTTCCTCTTTGAAACATTTTAGAATGATTTATTTTTTCCCAGATGTGCTGGACATGCAAGGTGTTGTCTTTGCAGTCTAAAAAGTCTTATCTTCTACTAGAAAGCTTTCTTGAATTATTTCTTTGTCAATATGATTTTCTTCAATTTACTTTGTTCTGATTTTATGAAACTCCTATTATTTAAATTGAAGAAGATCAAAGAACACAGCCCTCAATATAGATTACTAGTACATGTAAGGAAAACAAAAATCCTCACAGCAAACAACATTATGACAGAGAAAAGAATGACGTTGTCAAGGATTTGGTTTTACTTCAGATCCACAATTAATGTTCATGGAAGCAGCAAATGATATATTGTATTAGGCAAATCTGTTGCAAAAGACTTCTTTAAAGTATTAAAGAGCAAAGATGTCCCTTTCAGCATTAGGGGGCACCGGACACAAACCATGGAATTTGCAATGGCATCATACGCATGTGAAAACGGGAAGAC